AAGGGAACAGTGGCCCTGGGACCTGGTGATTCAAAGGGGCCAGGTGCTTCTCGGCACTGCTGCTGCTACTGTGGCATTGGCAGTGGCGGTGGCTGAAGCCCCAGACTCCTTTAAATCAATGGGAGCTCTGCGTGGCTTTGAGAGCTGGGGTGGTGAGCTGCAGTCTGTCCGCAACTAAGGGCTGGTTGCCTTCCCTCCATGGCTTCTGGGTGTGCAGAGCTGCCCCCTCAAACTTGGTTCCGGGGTCCACGGTGGCTGAGGTTTCCTAAGCACTTCAAGCAAAACACACTATTTTAGGTAAAATATGAACTAGGCTTATTAATTACAGTACGAAAGATTTTAAGTGATTATAAAACGGTAGGCATAAAAGGAGAGAGCAGGTTACCACAGCAAATAAAACTAAGTGCACTGTCTAAGTCTTAAGCCCTTTTACACTCGGCAGTATTTAGATCAAGTAATTGTCTTGCTCCATCAGAGCGTCACAATCCTTAATGCACAGACTTCCCTCTGCAGCCTGGACTAGTCTCCTCAATGACCTTTGTCTTCTCGGCCTCCCAGTTGCTTCCAGCATTGGTGGGGGAGGAGAAAGGTCAAGACAGGCTGCAGCTGCTCCTTGTTTCCCAAGGATGGCCAACCTATGGCTCACGAGCCACATGTGGCTTTTTCACCATTAAAGTGGGTTCACAGAGCCTGCTACACTCCCCAGTCTCCACCTACTAGACTTGGCAGGAGCAGGGAGCTCGTGACCACTGCCTTGCAGCAGGTTGGTGTGGTAGGTGTTTCAGACCACTGGGAAGGGGGGGTCGTGGGGCTTCAGCCCTGTGGGACACACCTTTAGCGGGGCTTTCACAGGAGTCGGGCTGAAGCCCCAACTCTCAAACTTCAGAAGATTGCCATATGTGGCTCAAAGCGGCACTAAGTTTGGCCAGCCACGTTCTATACCCTTGGCCCAAATGCCTGGCAGACACTAGCCTAGGCTTGCCCTGGTGAGCTTTGCTGAGTTGCAGTGATCAAGCAATTCCCAAGTCACAGTGATGGAACCATTCCCGTTGTGTGATGTTTGCATAGTTGACTCATACAGTTAATTAAAGGTTGTGGAGGGGGCCCTTTGTATGTCACTGGCAACCTTACAGCATAGTTCAGTAACATCTATTCAGCAAAAGCTCACAACTTTATACACACCGATGTTATACATATTTGGACCAAAGCAAAAAAACAATCAGGTTTCAGCAGATAATGGTGTTTTGATATGATACCTTACATAGAATGCTTTGCACAAAGTATCACAGCCATATATGAATGATGATTATGTGAGTCACAGGGTGCCATTTTGAGAGACAGAGAGTCACAGAGAGAAGAAGCCTCTGTCCCTCTCCTAAGGGAGTTTGGAGGGTTGCTACAGAACCACTAGCTGGCAAGAGGAGCCGCGATGCAGCTGTTGGGGGAGGCACAAATTCCATTGTGGTGGGGCTATTGTTGAAGCCTGGATGCAGAAGTCACTGATGTGGGGGTTGCAGAGGAAACTAATCTGACAGTGCAGGGGTGCAGAATTGAATTCATGTAGTACTAGAGCCCGGGGGTGGGGTAGGGTTGTGAGACTGAGTTAAGGGGCACACAATGAATTAACTGGCATCTGTGTATTTTGGGAGGAGATGGGAATCCTTGTGCCATCAAGCAGGGCTTTGATGCAAACATTCTAATTGTATTCAAATGTCACTTTTTAATGTAGCTTTAAAAATTGCTGGGGTTTACTGTGACTCTATGTTGATAGTGCTGGGGGCTGTGTAAGGAGAATAACAGAAAATGCTCAGCATGAACTGTGTCCTCTCAGACTGGAGACGTGGTTCAGAATCTCAGAATTTCTCCTATTTCAGTGTCAAAAATGGAATTCAAAGGAAAACGTACACACTTTGTGAACTCTCACTACAGTTTATTTGGTAGTTATGGCGCAGAGAAGTGTAACAATGCAGCTGCACTAGTAAGGTAAGTTGTTTCTGTAAGCAAGGATGGAGCTGTTGGGTATTCAGGCAAACAGTGACAAAATATGTACATGGAGGCACAACAATAAATGGCAGGGGCATGAGGCTAACATTTCCTTGGTAACTCAATTAAAGTTGGTCTAATACGTATGGCGCAGAATAAACTAATTGGCTGTGTCTACACTGGCACCCTTTTCCGGAAAAGGGATGCAAATGAGACAAGTCGGAATTGAAAATGCAGCGGGGATTTAAAATTTCCCCGCTGCATTTGCATGAACATGGCTGCCGCTTTTTTCTGGCTCGGGGCTTTGCTGGAAAAAAGCCCCAGTCTAGACAGGGATCTTTCGGAAAAGGGTTTATTTTCCGAAAGATATCCATCTAGACTGGCGCTTTTTTCCGGCAAAGCCCCGAGCCAGAAAAAAGTGGCAGCCATGTTCATGCAAATGCAGAGGGGGAAAATTTAACGCTTTTTTCCGGCAAAACCCCGAGCTGGAAAAAAGCAGCAGCCATGTTCATGCAAATGCAGCGGGGAAAATTTAAATCCCCGCTGCATTTGCAATTCCGACTTGTCTCATTTGCATCCCTTTTCCGGAAAAGGGTGCCAGTGTAGACACAGCCATTGAGTGTCACATAGAAACAAATACCAGATATATATTGTCTAAGGCATAATTCACCGTAAACAACATGTGGGATCATATGAATGACTTAAGCAGCACATTTCATAAAATCATAGAATACTAGGACTGGAAGAGCCAGCGAGTAGTCCTGTGGCACCTTATAGACTAACCAAAGAGTTGGAGCATAAGCTTTCGTGGGCAAAGACGCACTTCTTCAGGTGCATATAGGACTGGAAGGGACCTTGAGAGGTCATCGAGTCCGTCCCCTGCCCCCATGGCAGGACCCAGTACTGTCTAGATCATCCCTGATAGACATTTATCTAACCTACTCTTAAATCTCTCCAGAGATGGAGATTCCACAACCTCCCTGGGCAATTTATTCCAATGTTTAACCACCCTGACAGTTAGGAACTTTTTCCTAATGTCCAGCCTAAACCTCCCTTGCTGCAGTTTAAGCCCATTGCTTCTTGTTCTATCCTCAGAGGCAAAGATGAACAAGTTTTCTCCTTCCTCCTTGTGACACCCTCTCAGCCACAGTTGTCAACCCCAAGGGTTCAAAAATCATAAGTCAGGCCCCTAAAATTAAGAGATTGGCTTCACAATCAGGAGATTAAAAATGAAGATGGATTCTTTGGATTTACTTTATGGTTTCTGAGCCTTGGGTCTAGTTTTAGATTTCTCCCTCAAATTTACTAGATTATATTTATTTTTCAATGAAAGCTGAGTGTCTCACACTGTCACCTAATTCCAGTAGTTGGGGATTTCAGATCCTGCCTTCCTCATAGCTATTTGTAAGCGCTAGAGGGTGTATTTCATTAGGCCGTGTCAGGACAGCAAGATGACAGCTATTTGTGGATGTCTAGATTTCATCTCAAGTTCAACATGGTTATAATAGAATCATAGGACTGGAAGGGACCTCAAGAGGTCATCGAGTCCAGCCCCCCGCCCTCAAGGCAGGACCAAGCTCCATCTACACCATCCCTGACAGATGTCTATCTAACCTGTTCTTAAATATCTCCAGAGAGGGAGATTCCACCACCTCCCTTGGCAATTTATTCCAATATTTGACCACCCTGACAGTTAGGAATTTTTTCCTAATGTCCAATCTAAACCTCCCCTGCTGCACTTTAAGCCCATTACTCCTTGTCCTGTCCTCAGAAACCAAGAGAAACAAATTTTCTCCTTCCTCCTTGTGACACCCTTTTAGATATTTGAAAACCACTATCATGTCCCCCCTTAATCTTCGTTTTTCCAAACTAAACAAGCCCAGTTCACGAAGCCTGGCTTCATAGGTCATGTTCTCTAAACCTTTAATCATTCTTGTCGCTCTTCTCTGTACCCTTTCCAATTTCTCCACATCTTTCTTGAAATGTGGCGCCCAGAACTGGACACAGTACTCCAGCTGAGGCCTAACTAGCGCAGAGTAGAGCGGCAGAATGACTTCACGAGTTTTGCTTACAACACACCTGTTAATACAACCTAGAATCATATTTGCTTTTTTGGCAACAGCATCACACTGTTGACTCATATTCAACTTGTGGTCCACTATGACCCCTAGATCCCTTTCCGCCATGCTCCTTCCTAGACAGTCGCTTCCCATCTTGTATGTATGGAACTGATTGTTCCTTCCTAAGTGGAGCACTCTGCATTTCTCCTTATTAAACCTCATCCTGTTTACCTCTGACCATTTCTCTAACTTGCTAAGGTCATTTTGAATTATGTCCCTATCCTCCAAAGAAGTTGCAACCCCACCCAGTTTGGTATCATCTGCAAACTTAATAAGAGTACTCTCTATCCCAATATCTACATCATTGATGAAGATATTGAACAGTACGGGTCCCAAAACAGACCCTTGAGGAACTCCACTTGTTATCCCTTTCCAGCAGGATTTAGAACCGTTAACAACAACTCTCTGACTACGGTTATCCAGCCAATTATGCACCCACCTTATCGTGGCCCTATCTAAGTTATATTTGCCTAGTTTATCAATAAGAATATCATGCGAGACCGTATCAAATGCCTTACTAAAGTCTAGGTATATGACATCCACCGCTTCTCCCTTATCCACAAGGCTCGTTATCCTATCAAAGAAAGCTATCAGATTAGTTTGGCATGACTTGTTCTTCACAAACCCATGCTGGCTATTCCCTATCACTTTATTACCTTCCAAGTGTTTGCATATGATTTCCTTAATTACCTGCTCCATTATCTTCCCTGGGACAGACGTTAAACTGACCGGTCTATAATTTCCTGGGTTGTTCTTACTCTATCAGCTCTACTGGGATGCATTTCATTAGGACCTGGTGACTTGCTGACATCTAACTTTCCTAAGTGATTTTTAACTTGTTCTTTGTGTATCCTATCTTCTAAACATACCCTCTCTCTGCTTGTATTCACTACGTTAGTCACACCTCCAGACTTCTCGGTGAAGACCGAAAGAAAGAAGTCATTGAGCATCTCCGCCATTTCCAAGTTTCCTGTTACTGCTTCTCCCTCCTCACTGAGCAGTGGGCCTACCCATGCGCCGCACTCCCAGGGCTGGTGCCACAACTGTGCTGCACTCCCAGAGGTGGGGTCGCCCGGGGCCGGAACAGCCCATGTCCCGCACGCCCGGGGGCGGGGTCGCCATCACCCATGCGTTGCGTGCCTGGAGCCAACACCTGTGCCACACATCCAGGAGCCAGCAGTGCCCATGCACCACTCACTCAGGGGCGGGGCCGCCAGCTCTGGGCACACAGGATATCGCCCGTGGGCGCGGGCGCGGCCCTGCCCCGGGTGCCCAGTGTGTGAGCAGCCCCGCCCCTGGGCGCCTGGCAGCCCCAAAAGTTTGGAGACCACTGACCTAGCCCTAAGTGGGGAAGAAGAGACAGCTGCCGCCTAATTAGGCTGGGGCTGTATAAAAGCCACAGGGGAAGGGAGGTGGAGGGGATGGGTGGGATCAGGAAGAAATGGAAAAGACAGGGAGTGGAAATGGAGGTAATACTCCCCTTCCGCACCCCTGCTGATGGCAGAGGGCTGTTTGCATGGTGAAAAGGTGGTGGGAGCACAATCTGTAAATAAACTCCAGTGATTACTGAACCCAGGGTCTCTAAGTGACTTTATCAACTGAACAGGGCAGGAGCCAAGAGGACCCGGCTGTGCTAAATCTCTAGAGCCTCAGGTGTCAGCTGTATCTAAGTCTCACAGATTCTTTCTGCCTAATATCTGTGAGGTGCTTATTTTCCTGCCCATTCACACAGCTACATTTTCCATCCAGGCGGCCATCCTCTTGTGTCATGTTTACAGCAACATTCCTTTCTCTGGTCTTGACAAATGTAATCTTGTCCCGTTCGTATCCATTCAGGATGCTGCTTGTAGAGCCTGTTGCCTGCCCCACCCCCATCAGTCTGTCTGTATCCCTCTGTCGTTTAAGACTGTAAGGTGTTTGGGGCAGAGATTGTCATTTTGTTCCGTGATTGGGCTGCACCTAGCACACTGCTGCTGGGTCCATGACTGGGGCACTTATATGCTAGGACAATACAAAGATTTATTATAATTAACAATCATTATAAAGCTGGGACTTGTGAACCTTGCAAACTGCACCCATCATTGTGGTATCTGGGCACCAGGCCCATAATTAGGAATCCCATAATGCACCCAGAGGGAGTTTTCTCTCCAGTGCTCTGGATTCAGCTGCTATTATTTGGACTTTATAACTCTATTTCCTTCTCCCAAACCACCACCTTGTAAATCATCTTATCCTATTTCAAAGTCAGACACGTTTACAAGTGTACGTGTTCTTAAATTCAGTACAGATCGGGGTCCATGGAGAGTTCTTCTAACACAGCATAATAGTTATGCCAGATAGACTAAACATACAAAATAGAGGAGAAACTTTTTCCATTCAAAACCCTAGAACATCTCTGCCTTAGTCTTTATAACTCACAGCTGGCCAGATGCTTTCTTGTTGTGAGGTAGAAAACTCGGTTGGCTTCTGGGTAAGTGACTTTGGAGAGAGGTAACTTGTAGATGGCTGAGTTGTTTGTCGTCATTAGCAGAAAGGTTAGTGCAGACAAGCAGAAAGGCCAGGTAAACGCTGGTAATCCAAACTAGAAAAAGGAGAATAGTCATTTTAATCACTCTGTGGCCCTCCTTAGTTTAATCCTCCAGTCTTAAATGTAATTGAAAGTTAGGAGGCCTGGGATGAGCCTTCTCAAATGAGTCTACATTTTTTTTTCGAATGTGAGAAGCTGCCTTTTTTCTCATCACCAAAGCAAAGCCATTCCCTTGTGGGATAGTGGTAACATCATATAGACCTGTCATACAAAATGTGGGTTGTACAGAGAATGGTCCCTAGTTAATTCTCCCCTCTGTTACAACTATGCAACTCCAGTCAGGCCAAGCATGAAGCAGGGAACAATTTGGCCAGTAGACTACAGATATAAATGCAGGAATTGAAGCCAGAGCATTTTAAATTCTACTCTGGTTTCTGGCACTCATGCCCTTTGGGGATCTAGGGCAAGTTGCTGTGTTTGTTTTCATTGTTGTCATGATCACTGGCTTCCTTATCAATCCAACACTCACTATCTGAATCAATCTCTGACTATGTCCTGAAGATGGTCTACCTGGGCAAGTCATGTAGGCCTATGTCCTCAAAAGCATTCAGGTGCTTTATTCCCATTGCAGGAGGTAGATGCCTACGTATCTTTGTTGAGTGGGGTCTTAGTGACTTCAGCTGTTAGGTTGGGCAGGTAGGAAACTAAATATCAAGCATTCAATCTGTCTTCTGAAAACCATCTCCCCTCCCTATTAGTTGGCCCCAATTTAATAAACACTCACCACCGAAAACATATTGGCCACAGTTGCTCCCAGGTAGGCACAAAAGAAAGCTGTGAAAAGATAAACAGACAATTCCTGGTCAATATGATTACTGCCACCACTGAAGAAATGAATAAGGACAATGCCTTGGACAAGCCTGGCTACTGCATTATACAGTCCCCTCCTCCTTTCATTCACAAGGGCATGAGGATTAGTCTAATTTTGAGCTCTCCTTTCACAGAGAGTGAATGTTCCTTCCAACATGCAAAAGGCACAACAACTCTTGCCCAGCCATAGCAATGAAACAACAAAAAGAGCTAATCTACCTGGATTTCAGGAAAGAAGATCCACATGGGAAATTATTAGTTTCATTGCAGAAAATGAGAATAAATACGTGAATTGAAAAGTGGCTAAGGAACTGGTAAAAGGGGAGACTACCATGGTGAACTGTCAGGTTAGAGGGAGTTTACTGGTGGAGTTCCTCACGGATCAGACTTGGGATCATTCTTATTCAATATTTTTATAAATGTCCTTGGCTCAGCATCTCACTATATTTCAGAATGGGAATGAATTTTCCCCCATATCAGAGAGATGGTTTTGTTTTCCATCTTCCACCATAGTGTGATTCACTTACTGGTTTGAATAACTGAAATGGTGGCTTCTCTGTGATTAGAATGCTTTCAATCAATATTTGAGGACTCTGGTAACTCAGCCACAGGTTTCGAGCCTTTTACACGAGTGGGGTAAGGTTCATGAGGCGTGCAGATCACACTAAATGATCGTGGCAGCTCCTTCTGTCTTTAAAGTTTACAAGTCAAAGGTGGAGTCTACACTGCCACTTTCCTGTGTTGCAACTTTCTGACTCAGGCCACTCGCCGCACTGGAGATCGCTCTTCTGGCATTTGATTTAGTGGGTCTAGTGAAGACCTGCTAAATTGAATGCTGAGGGCTCCCCCCTCAGCACTGGTACTGCTACTCCTTGTGAGGAGAAAGGGAAGCCAACAGGAGTGTTAGCTCTCATCAACATCCTGCAGTGAAGACAGTGCCAACCTCAGCTTAAGGTATGTCAACTTCAGATACATTATTTATGTAACTGGAATTGTATACCTTTAGCTGACTTTCCAGGTCTAATACAGTCCTGGCCTCAGGGGTGTGAAAAAACACTCCCCAAGCACAGCAAGTTATAGCACTGTGTAAAGTGTCAGTGAAACTGGGCTACAAAGAGCTCTTTTCCAGCATTCTCTTCCAATGCTCCAGCAGCTGCAGTTTAAACTTTGTATTGTAGACAAAGAATGTGACCGTGGAAACAGAATCTTTAGAAACAGGTCTGCAGAAATTGCAAGGCTAGAGCTCAAAGGATGGCACCGTTTCCCCTTATCTGTTCTGTCTTCAGGACCCAGTCAGACTATAATGGGAGCCAGTGAAGAAATCAAGTCTCGTTTATTGAATGAGCCAAGGGTCCACTCTGAGATCCACATGATGATATGCTGAAACCTACCACGGAATTGCTTTCTGAAGGCGTTCCTGACGGAACTCTGTGCTAACTCACAATTCCACTACTATCCATTTAAACAAGGATAGTAAGTTGGGCAGTGTAATTGGAGGTAGAGCTGGATCTGGATCAGCCTGGTTCTAAGGATTTCCAGAATGTCGGCATGTTCACATCTGGGGAAATAGTTTGGGCCTATGCCTGGTTTCAGCTCTACCAGCCTGACGTGTTGAAGAGAGTTGAATAGCTACATGTTTGTACATCAGAACCTCTATCCATAAGTCGGAGTGTCATTAAGTAAATAGCTTTTGAGAGACGTTTCCAAGGGCTTGGCTGAAGGTTAACATACTGTAGCTGTTCTGACAGCATAAATTAGATCAGGGGATTTCAAGCTTTTTTTCTCATGACCCAGTTGAAGAAAACTGTTGATGCCTGCGCTCTGACACAAAGGGACTAGAATGTGGGCTCCAAAATGGGGCTAAGGATGAGAGCTTTGAAGTGTAGGAGGGGGCTCTGGCTTGGGGGGTGTCAGCGCTGGGGCAGGAGGGGCTTACCTTGAGCAGCTCCCAGTCAGTGGTGCAATCGGGGTGCTAAGGAAGCTTCCTGCCTCTCCTGGCACCACAGACTGTGCTGTGTCCCGGAAATAGCCAGCAGCAGGTTCCCGGCCAATGGGAGTGCAGAGCTAGTGCTCAGGGATGGGACAATACATGGAGCCCTGTGCGCTTTCCCCCCTCACCTAGAAGCCAACCACTTTTAGGGCACAGTATAGCCTGCAGTGCCAGGACAGGCAGGTAATGTGCCTTAGCACCTCCCACCCCCAGCAGCAATGAGATCCAGTGCCTGACATTGCACAACCCAGTAGTGGGTCGCAACCTCTAGTGTGAAAACCACCAAATTAGTGTTGGCCCCGAATCAGCACCTCTGACTGAAATAATCTCTAGCCTTGTCTAAGTTCATCTGCAGACCTAGATGTGGACTTTGTGGCTTTACCCCTCTCTAGTATAAACACCTCGGCTGCGTGATTTTGGGCATGATTTTGCGCAAAATCTTGCCGCCTGTCTACACTGGCCGTGAGTATTTGCACAAGAACACTGACGTTGTAATGTACAAAATCAGTGGTTCTTGTGCAAATACTCTGACGCTCCCGCTCAGGGATAAGCCCTCTTCCACAAGTATTCTTGTGCAAGAGGGCCAGTGTAGACAGCAATGTTAATTTCTTGCGCAAGAAAGCCCAATGGCTAAAATGGCCATCGGAGCGTTCTTGCACAAGAGAGCGTCTACACTGGCACGGATGCTTTTGCGCAAAAGCAAAACTTTTGCACAAAGGCACATGCCAGTATAGACGCTCTCTTGCGCCAAATACTTTTAACGGAAAAACTTTCCTCCATTCAATGAACTTTTCCGATAAAAGTATTTGCGCAAAATCATGCCAGTCTAGACACAGCTCTCGTGTACTTTCATTTCAGAAGCAACCGCCCCCGTAACGGACACCCATCAATACATACCACAGGCAATTGCTAGCAGGTGGGTCTGCCAAGTGAGAGCATAGAACATGCCTCCGATTGCGATGCATGCAAGGCAGCTGTTGTAACTCCACAAGCCAGCGTAGATGTTGTTGAAAGGGGCTGCTAGGCTCAGGGCTGTATAGGAAATCAGAGAAGTGTTACTGCTGGGCCTATGGGATAAAAGCAGCTGAGAACTGGAATGAATTAGATGTGTAAAGGGCTCAGTTCTCCCCTCAGGAAAGCAGGTCTCACTCCCAGTGGGCCACACTCTGTTTTCATTGCAGTGGTGTTACACTGGACTTCCTTGGGAAGAATGAGACCAGAATCCCTCTGCCTATGACCTCACTGGAAGTTGATGAACGATGCTAGACTTAGACTGTAAAGCCTAGATTCACAAATGTATTTAGGCACCTAACTCCCAGGGGAGGTAAGCTATCTAGGTGCCTTTGTGAATTCAGGTCTAAATGCTTTCCTCAGTGTTCCTACATTTCAGAAAACCAGAAATCTCTCTTTGGAGAGATGGTTAAAAATGTAAATGTATTTCCCAACTTTTTTTGGTTTTATATGAACTTTACTGTAAAGTATATTTCATATTTTCAATAAAAAAATTTCAAAACATAGTAAAAAAGAACATTGGAAAATGTTTCATTTTGATGGGATTCTTTTTTTTTTTTTTTACTGTCTGTCCACTGAAAAGGAAAGAGAGGAAGGAAAGAAGTGGCTTTCCTTCTCTCCATTCAATGAATTTTTTTTTAACTCAAAAATGTTCAGCACAAAATCAAAACTTCAATGAAAATGCTTTTTGGAAACGATTTCGTTTTTGTCAAAAAGCTATTTCATAGAATCCTAGGGTTGGAAGAGACCTCAGGAAATCATTGAATCCCACCCCCTGCCCAAAGCAGGACCAACCCAACTAAATCATCCAAACCAAGCTTGGTCAAGGTGGGACTTAAAAACCTCTAGGGATGGAGATTCTACCAGCTCCATAGGGAACCCATTCCAGCGCTTCACCACCCTCCTAGGGAATAGTTTTTCCTAATATCCAACCTAGATCTCCCGCACTGCAACTTGAGACCATTCCACAAGGAGTAACGGTAGTTCGAACTAGGAAGCCTAGTTCGAACTACCTAGTTCGTGCCGTGTGTAGCCGCGCGGCACGGGGTTTGAACGAGCGGGGATTTAAAAATGGCGGCGCCCCGCTTATGCAAATGAAGCCCGGGAAATTCAAATCCTGGGCTTCATTTGCAATTGCGGTATGCCTACATTACCCTCCTATTTCGAAATAGGAGGGTAGTGTAGACATACCCTAAGGGTAGTTGATGGGAGCATTTCTCCCATTGACCTCCTGCTATGAAGACGGCACCTAAGTTCGGCTTTAAGGTATGTTGATTCCAGCTAAGTTTTCACTTAACTGAAATAGCGTACTTTATGCCGACCTTCCCCTATAGTGTGCAGCTGGCCTAAGTGATCATGTCAGACATCTGTTGGAGAGAAATAGTTTGTAATACCTGCCAGCATCCCCACAGCAGATCCGATTCCAGCATGCAAGCAAATGAGTGGCGAAGAGATGAATAAAGCTACCAGGAAGATGCCACCAGTCCAGGGGTTATCACAGCCATACACCTGACCAACGCCGACCGGAATGGATTGCAATAGCTACAGATATTTTAAAAAGACAGGTCAGTATGAATTGTTTGCAGTGGTGCTGTTGTTGGTCCCACAGCATGAGACACACAAGGTGGGTGAGGTTATATCTTTTGTTGGATCAACTTCTGTTGAGGTGTTAATGCCCTCTTCATTTTGAAGAGTTTCTTAAAACATTTGTTAATGCCATTTGCTAAACAATCAGTTCTGCTTTGTATTTAGCTCTGACACTTGGGGTATGTCCACTGCAGTTAAACACCTGTGGCTGGCCTGGGTCCTCTGACTTGGACTTGTAGGGCTCAGACTATGGGGCTGTGTAACTGCAGTGTAGATATTAAGGCTTGGGCTGGAGTCTGAGCTCTGGGACCCCTGAGTCTGAAGTCACAGCCCAAACAACTGCAGGCAGGGTGGTGGTGGTAGTGGTGTGTGTGTGTGGGGGTGTCCAGCTCTGCGCTCCCAGAAGGGACAGGACTTTGGGTAGAAGGGGCTGGGCTCTGGTGGAAGGGGAAATAGCATTGGTGTGGCCGGGATCCTCTGGCTCTTTTGAAATGCGAGCCCTCAGGGCCACTGTCTCCTTTCCCAACTTGTTAGCAGGCCTGTCTGCAGGGCAATCAAACAGTCCTGCAGCCTCTAGTCAGCTGACAGGCGCCAGCTGCAGGTGGTTAATTGCAGTGTAGACGTACCCTCTGGTTACCTTTCCCAGATCCGCAGAAGGGCATTGTGGTGGATGAAAGCCTATCACTTGGAAAATTGTCTCTTTCAATATCAGAAGCTTGTCCAATAAATGATATGACCTCACCTTCATTGCCTCTCTAATAACCTGCTCGTAATTTGTGTTTTAAACAGCCTACACGTTCTATAGCCTGGATACAGCTTGCTACTGATTTCAATAGGATGGTGCAAAACACTTACAGAAAATGTATCTATTAATTCAACCAAGATTTTCCATAGGGACTGGCCATCTTCCAGCACCATCTACTCCACTTCCTTTAACTCCTGTGATGAGCTATGTTAATTGCACCTCTGGGGTTTTTAACTATGAGGCACAGAAGATAGGATTTTGAGTCCATCTATGCTGGGTCCCCCTTTATGCGACAGATCTTCAAAGTCACAAATTTTAAGACCGGAAGAGACCATTAAAATAATCTTGTCAGCTCTCCTTTGTATCATAGGTCATAGAATTTTATCCCATGTTGATTTGAAGTAGGGATGTAACAGGTTAACCGCTAAATCGGTAAGCTTCATCCGTAATGGGTGGGGCTTACAAGTTCCGGTTAATCAGTAGGAGTCAGAGCAGCTCCCTGCCTGACCCACGCAGAGGGCTGCTGTAGCGTGGGAGCAGTCCCTGTCCATGACGGGCCCGGCCATCCTCCCTGGCTGATTATGCACCCTCGATGGCCCTGCATGTTATGTGCCCTTGCTCCCAGACAATGAATCTTTGCTGTAGGCACTGTAGTATAAAGCTTATTTAAGCTTTATATCAGTGGTCATCAACCTTTTGGGGCTGCAGGGTGCCCACATAGTTTGGTGGGCGCACATAAATGCCCCGGCGGGCGCCATGGCACCTGCGGGCACCACGTTGGGGACCACTGCTTTATATTGCAGAGCCCGCAGTGTATGTAACCACGTGCGAGGATTTTTAGTGATAGATGGTTATATTTTTAACAGCATTTTTACATCCCTAATTTGAAGACATCAAATTATGGAGACTCCACCCCTTAGAAATGTATTCAATTAATCAACCCCGCTGTTAAGAATTTGTGCCTTATTTGTGCTTTATTAAGTGAAAATTGTCTGGCTTTAATTTCTTGCCATTGATTCCTATTAAACCCTTCTCCACTAGGTTAAAGAGACCTGTACTATCCAGTATTTTCTCCACATGAAGTGACGTATGCCCTGTAATAAAGCCAACTCTTGTTTTTTTTGATGAGCTTACCAGACTGAACTCCTTAAATCTCTCACTGGAAGTCAAGCTTCCCGGGTATGCCACCTACTGTTCTCAGGCTTTGTCACTTACTGGGAGATTGAGGCTACAGAAATTGATCTCCCGGGGGTCGACTTTTCAGGTCTAGTAAAGACCCACTAAATTGACCACTGATCCTGCTCCTATTAATTCTGGTACTTCACTGGCTGGTGAGGAGTAAGGGAAAATGACAGAATAGTTTCTCTCATCAACCTCTCACAGTAGGGATGCTGCGGTAAGTCAAACTAAGGTACGTCAACTCCAGGTAGTCACATAGCTGGATTTGCGTACCTTAGTTCGACTTTCACTCCTAGTGTAGACCTGGCCTCAACTCAAATACAACTGCTTTAGGCACACTGTTGTTGTAGAAACAGCACCAGAAAGAAAAAAACAAATCCATATGAAAGTCTATGGGAGATTTTACTTGGCTTTTCTAGGGCTTGTTACTACTCTGTGTTCTGTGGCTGCCACCACCTGGATCCCTTTGGGATTTTAAATTCCATGTGGTAGCATGGGCCTGATGTAATTCTCACAAAAGTCAATTGGAGTTTTTCCATTGACCTCGATGGGAGTTGAATCAGACCCATGGTCCCTAAGGTTGAACGAGGCTGTTTGCTGTTAGTCCCTTCCCGCCCTGGCATTTCAGCAGTCTAGATCTACACTTCAGCATTCTCTTTGGCCTTTTGTTTCATCTGCGCAGAGAGAAATTAGCTTACTTTAAATACAGCAAAACTCCATTCAGACCTCCTGGCAAATTCAGGCTCTGCGATTTCACACTTATCAGTCTCCTTTCTCTTTGCAACAATGCAACTATTTTGGGAATTGTATTTAAAGTCATGCCAGGAGACTAATATTACTGATCACTATTCTGTCACTTACAATAGTTCCTCTTTTTGTCCTGAAAGATTTTTCACTTTGATCAAACATACCCAAGGATTGTATTAACAAATAATCCAGAAGCAAGTCACAAAGATGGTAAGTTTTAGTAGTCTCCGGTTTAAAGCACTGACAACCTTCACCTTTTTTTGCTTCTATCTATGGACTTCCTTTTAAGTATGACATTTTGTAAGGTGCAGGCTCTATTTTTTTCCTGTGACTGATGTCATGGTCAGATATCAATAAGAGAGTTAACTGAAATCTGAAGCTTTGGCTGACTGAACATTAATTAGTTGGGAACTGCGTTTTCAGTCTGTCCTCAGATAGTTCTTGCAGTATTGGGTAGCCAGCTTTTGCTTTCACCTTTCAATTGTGAAGTTAAGAGCATATTTCTAATTCCTTCTTTTCCTATTAATAAATCTCCACTGAAGTAGAGTTTGTGTGGGCTCAGTAGTGAAGGTATTTTCCAAGTAAAGGCTAAATTCTTTCCTGTCAGAAATGAGCCTCATTCCATTCACCTCAAGGAGCTTTGCTCATTTTCATCATCAGAGAATCTGTTCCTAAACTTACCTTCCTCGTGCACCCCAAAATCTCTTTAGTATCAATAAGTGTTTGAAAAGTGAAAGGGATGCAGTTTAGGGGAGGTCATAACCAGCCACATCTAGTGTAATTTGCAGTTTAGATCTGGTTCTAGCTTGATGTGCCCTTTGCAGTTGTGCTTTGTTTTACTGCTCTACATATATTTTAAACTCTTTCTCGAAGCTTATACATGAAATCTATTATTGTTTGTTTTTGTTCTCTGCTTGGCAAAGTTGATTTCCTTCTCCAACTATCTTTGCACGTTTAAAATTGAAATGCTCATTCCTACAAATGTCTTTTGTACTTTGGCCTTAATTATTGATGACAGCACAGCTTTGGAAATAGTTCTGCTTGGTTAATAGGAGAGGGACCAATAGGGTAGGAAACATGGATTTGTGTAGGACCAGCACAAATATTGGCTATAAAATAATCTGAATGTTTGTCTGTACATGAGTGTATAATGAACCTATCATGGTAGTGTCTGTGCCAATTTCTTAACAGATGGGTGATTTTTGAAAAATGTAATACACTATATTAGTAATACCTGGTGCAGCGATTTAATCCCTGCATGAAAATTTGAATATAACTATGAATCCAGGACCAATGTCTCCATGGTAGTGGATTATTGGCACCCAGAAAGATTCACTGAGGATGATAGCCTATACCTTTAAGTCCACTTGTATGTTTAAGATACTTGGCAACTCTAAAACCAAAAATCACTAAAACAGACAGTTGCCATAGTGAAGTATCAGTTATTTAAAACTCCAGTCATCTGAAGAAATGGGCTGTGCACACAAAAGCTCATGATATCATCTACATGTTTTGTTAGTCTAAAAAGTACCACCAGACCATTTGTTGTTTAAATTTATCAGTTATTTGTTACCATGTACAGAATTGTATTATGGGGCTCTGTCTTTGTCACAGAAAATAAAAGGATATGGCTCTTTATTGGCTTATCATGTAAGCAGAGTGAAATGTTTCTTTAGTGACTCTTACCATTGGCACGTCAATTCTGGACCATGTGATATTGGGCACTGATGTTGCAGGTTGAAAGAGGACTGTAGGGAAGAAGAGGTTGTAGTGTCCGGTGGCAGCTGAGTATAAAGTCAGTGCCATGTTGAAAGGCAAGGTGAAAACAGGAAGATCCCACTTATGGAAGATTGAGCCTAAAGCACTGGAAATAATTGGGCTGAAAGGGAAGAACAAAATTCTCTCATTAGAAGCTTTCAAAGATTAATTCCTCAGATCTCTCAGCTAGGCAAAAACTATCCATTATTCTGACAAATTATGAAATGAATACTCTAGGCAAAAACTATCCATTATTCTGACAAATTATGAAATGAATACTCTAGGCAAAAACTATCCATTATTCTGACAAATTATGAAATGAATACTCTAGGCAAAAACTATCCATTATTCTGACAAATTATGAAATGAATACTCTAGGCAAAAACTATCCATTATTCTGACAAATTATGAAATGAATACTCTAGGCAAAAACTATCCATTATTCTGACAAATTATGAAATGAATACTCTAGGCAAAAACTATCCATTATTCTGACAAATTATGAAATGAATACTCTAGGCAAAAACTATCCATTATTCTGACAAATTATGAAATGAATACTCTAGGCAAAAACTATCCATTATTCTGACAAATTATGAAATGAATACTCTAGGCAAAAACTATCCATTATTCTGACAAATTATGAAATGAATACTCTAGGCAAAAACTATCCATTATTCTGACAAATTATGAAATGAATACTCTAGGCAAAAACTATCCATTATTCTGACAAATTATGAAATGAATACTCTAGGCAAAAACTATCCATTATTCTGACAAATTATGAAATGAATACTCTAGGCAAAAACTATCCATTATTCTGACAAATTATAATTATATTTCTGGATGAGCAGGAATATGTGTTCTGGATCTTATAACTGAATTGGTTAGGTCCAATAATGGTGTCAGCAGAGTAAATATGTGGACAAAGCTGGCAACGGGGTTTGTTGCAAGGAAAAGTTCCAGGGTTGGTGTTAGTGTAGTATGTCCTGTGGTTGTTGGTAAGAATCATCCTGAGGTTAGGTGGTTGTCTATAGGAGACTATGGGTCTGTCTCTCAGAGCCTCTTGGAATGTAGTATCCTGTTCTAGTATAGGTTGTAGTTTATTGATAATGCATTGGACAGGTTTAAGTTGAGGGCTGTAGGTGATAACAAGTGGTATTCTATTGTTGGTTTTCTTGGGTCTTTCTTGAAGTAGATGGTTTCTGGGTATTTGACACTTTACGCCGGGGTCTAAACAAAGACGCTAATGAAATGAATACTCTTCATGCCTTCTGGGTTTTGCTAGGAACTGTTTGAGTTTGAGTTCCTTCTAATGCAATCAAATGTATTTTAGGTTATCTTGCAAGTCCCACCTCCATACTTGTGCCTGCACTTAGCAGTACACAGATTTCCTATCTGCTTTCATGACTCTAAGAATGTTTAGGGACAGATCTTCAGTTAGTGAGAACTGGTGAAGCTCTATTGATTTTGATGAAGCTATTTACACTATCTGAGGATCTGGCCCTTAATTTATTAGTGCTGGAGAGGGGACCAAAGCAGATCCTGAGCCCAACAGGGAGAAAGTTGGGATCTTATGGGAACTTCAATCCTATGGGGTGGAATAATCAACAATTAAAACAATAGTTAAGGCCTAAGACCATTTGAGTTACAGCAACAAAACTGGGTATAATTCACCACTTGATGTTCAGGCAGACAAGAGAATCCATCAAAACATATAGATGGAATCATGAGCTTTCATGGGCGCAACCCACTTCTTCAGATGACCAGAGTATTAGAAGTCCAGATCCAAGCAAGAATAAATAAGGGAAGGGGAGGAGAGAAAAAAAAGGAGGGGGAAAGAAGAAAAAAATAGAGAGAGATACAGGGTGAATAGATGGTTCAAATAGTTACAACAGGCTGATAAGAACAATTAGCACCTCCATTGTTTTGTTGGTAGATTAAGTCATAGAATGTGGAAGATAGTGATATCTTTGGTCATACCATTTGCATAAGAATTAAGCTTGTCAATGAAGTTAAGTTCCAACCTTCTCTGTGCATTTGGCTTGTGGAATTGTTTTTTAAGTTTTGTCTGTTACAGACTAACCCGGCTACTCTTCTGAAGCAGGAGAATCTATGTGTTTCGGCCCTTTCCAGCAAATGTTCTGTGTTCAAAAAGCTGGTTGCCAATCTGTATGGGCACATCATTGTTTGGTAGGCCAGTAAAATATCATTAGTTGTTTTCATTCTCATCAGTCATCATGGTTAAGGGCAAGTGAGTTTTGTGTCTGGGAAATTTTTATAACATTTTTACAAATGTGTACAAATAAAAGAATGAATGAAACAGCTCAGGCAGGGAAATGGTGAAAATAATGTCACTGTTCACATTTCAATGAGCAAGTGACATACCCCCATATGGCTAACATTTAGAGGACTGAACTCATTTCAGTTAAACATGTAATTTACATGTAAACTGGTAATTTATTTTAGAAAGGACTAATCTAAATTGTGTAGATGTAAATGATGGTAAAAATGCACAGCTTTAGATGCCAAAACATATGTAGCATACTACTAAGGGAATTCCGTGCTCCTCCTCCCCAAACAATTCTGTAAACAATATTTTAAAATTCACTAAATAAATGTGCAGGCTCCAGCATGGCAGGGGAATAGAGGTCCTGACCATAGAGGTACGAAGGTGGACAATCACTCTGCAAACCCTCACGCTGGACATGGAACTCGGCTATGAAATTGTACCCAACCTACCTGCCCCAGAAACACTCTGGGGTCCTGCCCCTCCATGAAAAGTGAACCAGCTGTGGGCAGACAGGATCCGAGTGGGAGGGGCTTCGTGTGGGGTATTCAGGTGTGGGGTGACACTGAGGACTCTGTGCAGCATAATTTGGGTGTGGTCAGTCAGGGGTCTGAGTGCAGGTGGAGATCTGGTTACACAGGGAGGCATTGGGGGTTCTTGATGCAAAGACAATGGGACTCTGCAGGGGGATCCAGGTGATGGTTGCTAAGGCTCAACATTGGGGTCTGGGTGTGTGGGACTCATGGAGGGTGGAGCTTGGTGGGGTGGAGGGTCCAGGTGTGTGTGGTTTTCCAGGAAGCCCCAAGTGCAAGGATTAGGGCTTATTGGGTCTTATTGGGGATTGAATGAAGGGTGCTCAGCAGGGGGTGGTCTGGATCCAGATGCAGGGGACAAGTGATCGGGAGGTATGGGTGTCTGGGTGGGAGGATGGGATTGGGCAGGGGGTCTGGGCGCAGGGAGATTCTGGATACATGGAGTGAGGTTTGGCAAGGGGGGAAATTGGGAGTGTGGGCTTCGGGGTGGGAGTTCTGGGTGTGGGAGCAGTGAGACTTGGCAGGGGAATCTGGGTTTCAGGGGAAATCCAGATGCATAGGGGTTGGGCAGATGGGGGAGCAGCTCCCTATACAGAGACCCCTCTCCCCATGGCTGAGGGAGGCAGGAAGCATGTGTGTGTTTGTGCATGTGTATGTGGCTTTCTGAAGCCTGGGATGATTTCTGGGTGTATGTCTGTCCAGTCCAGGCCACTCCTTGCGGGGGAAGAGGAGGCACCACCTGGGACACCTCTTGGAGTGAATTACCTCTCTGCCAGCTAGAATAACACAGTAGAGGGGCACATGACTTCTCTTGCAGCTTTCCCTTTGCTTTCCTGTCAGACAGTCATTTTTCTGCAGGGAAGCAAAGCAAGTTGTGGACAGGAGCATGAATTCTGCATGTGAACAGTGACACAGAATTTTCCCAGTGGTAGTGTTATTTTATTGGTGTAAAAGGCAATACAACACAAACCGCTGAGGTCTCAGGAATGGAAGGGGTCAGAATCCAAGCACTGGGGCTCCTCAGTCCCTCTTCTCTTCCTGTGACACACAGGAGAGTCGTCTTCTGGAGGCTGAAATAGTGCGGTTTTATTTTATTTACTCTGTTGGTGTGTGGGCGTCGATGCTACGTGATATGTAGGAGGTCAGAGAAAACCATTTGGAGGTCCATTCTGGCTTTAAGCTCTAGGATACACAACTGTATAGGCTCTCTCAGGAGTCTATCGGTGTGCGACTTACCAGGTCATGGATGCAACAGCAACAGGCAGGAGAAGCCACCAATAGAAATCTCCCTTGTCAGAGAACACTGCTATGAGCAGTCCCACCAGGACCCCATTATAGCCATGCAATCCCGCTGCTATGGCCGATCTGTGGAAGAAAGACAATTGACATGAAGGTTTGGTTGCTGAAGATCATGTAAACACAGCTCCACTTAATACTGTCTCCTCACCTGTGCTGGAATGTAATTTCCAGATGTGCTGTGTGCCAGTGTAATATACCAATGTACATTCAGTGAGAGAGGAGGATCAGGCCATTAAAAGTTCTGGCTCTCAGTTCCTTGGTCTTGTGGTTAAGATATTGGACCGATCCATGGACAATCTGGAGTCACATTCTATCTGTGAGACAGGCTTCTTGGTGATGAGGGGCAACTTGTTTAGCCTCCCTGGGCTTCTGTCCAACATTTATAGTGGGGAAAGTGATACTTCTTTCCCCCACCTTCTACCTGTCATGTCCACTGGGATTGTAAGCTCTTTGGGGCATGGATTGTCTCTTACTCTGAGTATGTACTGGGGCAAAGCTCCAGCCATGGCACATGGGTCCTGCACTTTTAGGTGGGTATTATATGCCTCAAAGGTTTGCTGTGACCCACCACATTGCCTCTTATATTTTTCTGCCCCTGCATTCTGGTCCTTCATTTTCCGGGATCAGTCTTTTCAACTGGGGAGACCCCAGGCCCACCCACTATCCCTGGGTTTGTTCAAGGACCCTAGGCAGTGGCAACTGACAGGTTTTTCCCTCTAGTCCCAATACAGCAGCCTTTTCCCTGGGCCACTTCCCCAAACACTCCCCTAGTACCTTCTCCCTGGCACCTGAATGAATCTTTCCTTTCTCAGCAACACACTTCCTTCTCTCAGTCCATCACTCTTCTCCTTCCCCCTCCCTTAATTGGGGGAAGCCTTTTAAAGCAGCCTCACCGAACTTAATTGGCTGCAGGTGTCTGATTAGCCTGCTGCTTCATGCAAGCTCTTAATTAGCTTCAGGAGCTTGCCTTGGATATGTGGCAACAGTCTCCCGCAATTCATTCAGGAAACAAAAAAACATTCACCCAGCTCCCAGCATGTCTACCCTCCACCAAATTATTGTAGCCAGCTTCTCTGGGTCTGTCACAGTACAGTGCTTAGCGCATTGGGGTCTTGATTTAATTGGAGCCCTATGTGCTACTGAAATACCAGTGTGATCATAGAATCATAGAATCATAGAATAATAGGACTGAAAGGGACCTCGAGAGGTCATCGAGTCCAGCCCCCCGCCCTCAAGGCAGTACCACGCTCCGTCTACACCATCCCTGAGAGATGTCTATCTAACCTGTTCTTAAATATCTCCAGAGAGGGAGATTCCACCACCTCCCTTGGCAATTTATTCCAATATTTGACCACCCTGACAGTTAGGAATTTTTTCCTAATGTCCAATCTAAACCTCCCCTGCTGCACTTTAAGCCCATTACTCCTTGTCCTGTCCTCAGAAACCAAGAGAAACAAATTTTCTCCTTCCTCCTTGTGACACCCTTTTAGATATTTGAAAACCACTATCATGTCCCCCCTTAATCTTCGTTTTTCCAAACTAAACAAGCCCAGTTCATGAAGCCTGGCTTCATAGGCTTCTCTAGACCTTTAATCATTCTTGTCGCTCTTCTCTGTACCCTTTCCAATTTCTCCACATCTTTCTTGAAATGTGGCGCCCAGAACTGGACACAGTACTCCAGCTGAGGCCTAACTAGTGCAGAATAGAGCGGCAGAATGACTTCACGAGTTTTGCTTACAACACACCTGTTGATACAACCTAGAATCATATTTGCTTTTTTGGCAACAGCATCACACTGTTGACTCATATTCAACTTGTGGTCCACTATGACCCCTAGATCCCTTTCCGCCATGCTCCTTCCTAGACAGTCGCTTCCCATCTTGTATGTATGGAACTGATTGTTCCTTCCTAAGTGGAGCACTCTGCATTTCTCCTTATTAAACCTCATCCTGTTTACCTCCGACCATTTCTCTGCAGATGGTGATGAATTGGCAGAGCAGTGACAGGTCAGTGTAGTGATTTCTCCCCAACCAGTTGAGGAGAAAGGTAGGTCATTAGCAGGGAAAGATGTGATAGTGAGAAGAGGTGGGTCACAGAGGTGCCCTGGGAGGAGCCTGGTGCTGCAAACCCTTGGGGAGAGGTATTGAGCCCCATTAATGCTTAGGATCCACAGAGAGTGAGCTTCTGAGGAACTTATAGCATGTGCCTCAGCAGTGCTTTAGTTCCACAGAACTTCAGGCCCTCACAAGGGGCCAACACTAACATTTGATTATGCACATCATATATATAGTAGCTCATTGTCTGTGAGTCTGTAACGCTGAAATGCTGGCTGTTCCCTCTGGGCAGCCCGTGCTGCACGGGGAGTGCGGGGCCCAAAGAGCCGCTTGCTCCCCCGCAGTGGCCCGGCTAAGTGGCGCAGAAATCAGCCGAGCACCACGGCAGGAGGGGAAGGGGGCGGGGCGGTGACATGCGGCGTGACAGTGGCTCCAGGCTCCGCCCCCCTTTGCCTCCCACCATGGTGCTTGGCTGACTTCTGTGCCGCCCAGCCAGGCCGCCGCGTGGGAGCAAGTGGCACAAGTAACTGTTTGGGCTCCGTGCTCCCCATTCAGCACAAGAAGTGCGGAGCCCAAATGGCCATTTGGGCTCCACGGTCCCCCGAGTGAGAGGCAGGAGGGGGAGGAGAAGAGAGAGAGAGAGAGGCAGGAGGCGGAGGAGAGCTGAGAGAGAGAGGGGGGAGGCAGTTGAAGGAGGAGGAGGAGAGAGAGAGAGAAAGAGAGAGAGAGATGGAGTGAGAGACTGGAGGCTCAGGAGAGAAGACCGACGTGGAGGAGAAACCTGAAAATCCCGTCTTATGATGGGCTAAGTGGCTAGTAGTAGAAAATAAGAGCGTTAGCCTTTTGGCATAATTGCAACCAACCATGAAGAGCAAGTTAGGCAAGACCCTTGAAAGGTTACTCCTATGATATTCATTCATTTACATATCTTTAAAGAATCTATATATGCACAATGCCAAAAAAAAAAAAGTAAAACATCAAAGGATGCATACTAAGCAGCCCCCACAAAACCAATAGAGATTAAAATAAAACTTACCCTAAATAACAGACCCTCTCCCCACAGTTGGAATGAAAGGTCAAACCCTCTTAGAATGTTATGGACCTTTATAGAATCTTCTGGAACCTTTCAGACTTTCTGAGAGCTTTATTTTCCTTGCACATCATAAAATGATGTCAGATGTGGAGGTGGATGACAGAGGAGGGATCACGTGAGGCTTACCTGTTGTGTTCCCTCCCTCTGGGGAATCTGGCATTGGCCACTGTTGGCAGACAGGATACTGGGCTGGATGGACTGTTGGTCTGACCCGGTATGGCCGTTCTTAAGTTTTTATGTACATGCCTACATGGGTATATATAAGGAGCAGGGCCTCACCAGTCAGCCAGTGAGATATCTGAAGCAAAGTGCAGTGAAGTGAGAGCCCAGCTGTAATATTGTGAACCATGTTTGATTGTAACAACTTAAAAAACAACGAATAGTCTAGCAGCACCATAGGGTGTGTCAACACTTGCACCCTATTTCGAAATAGGGATGCAAATGAAGACATTCGAACTTGCAAATGGTGCCGGGATTTAAATATCCCGTACTTCGTTTGCATAATCATGTTATGGTGCTATTTCGAAATAGCGCTATTTAAAAATAAAACACGCTGTGTAAACATGTTATTTCGAGAGAAAATCCTTCTCTCAAAATAACTGTTAAACCTCATTTTATGAGGAATAAGGGTTATTTCAAGAGAAGGGTTTTCTCTCGAAATAACATGTTTACACAGCGTGTTTTATTTTTAAATAGCGCTATTTCGAAATAGCACCATAACATGATTATGCAAACGAAGTACGGGATATTTAAATCCCGGCACCATTTGCAAGTTCGAATGTCTTCATTTGCATCCCAATTTTGAAATAGGGTGCAAGTCTAGACATACTCTTAGAGACTAACAAAAAAAGGAAGATGGTATCATAAACTTTCGTGGGCACAACCCACTTCAGATGAAGTGTAAATACGCATGTTTTATTGTGTAATTTTGAAAGGGTTTTTGTGTTTTAAGACTTGAAAAGAAAACCAGAAAACCAGCAGAAGACCTGTTTCCAGTCTGTGAACAACTCTACTGGAAAAAGCCTAACAGAGCTGTTTATGAACCTTTTCTATGAGAATAAAAAAGTTTCAGGACAGCCGCAGCCAAGAATAAGACAATGAAATGAACATGAAGGGAAGAAACAATGGTGTCCAGACAAGGATCCTTGCACTGCATCCAACTGCTTTCTTTGTACCTTGTGGCTGCCATTCCCTCAACCTGGTTGTGTCAGATGCAGCATCATCTTTTTAGATTAGGTATCTTTCTGCAAAGGATATACATCCCATTCTTAGAATCAACTAAACAGGCAGAAGAACCTCATGGACAATCTTACAAATCTTACCGTGAAGCCACTAAGTGATTCTTGCTGGACGAGCTCTATGTGATCTGAGGTAAATAGGATGAAATTCAATAAGGGTAAATGCAAAGCACTCCACTTAGGAAGGAACAATCCATTACACACATACAGAATGGGAAATGACTGCCTAGGTAGGAGTACTGCAGAAAGGGATCTGTGATCTACTAGAACTACGTATGAGTCAACAATGTGACATGATTGCAACAAAAGCAGACATCATTCTGGGATGTATTAGCAGACTGTGGTAAGGAAAACACAAGAAATAATTATTCTGCTCTACTCTGTGTTGATAAGTCCTCTGCTGGAGTATTATGTCCAGTTTCCAGTATTAGCTTTCAGGAAAGATGCAGATTAGCTGGAGAAAGCCCAGAGAAGAGCAATAAAACAATTAAAGGTCTGGAAAACATGACCTTAAGAGTGAAGATTGAAAAAAAAGGTTTGTTTAATCCAGAGAAGGGAAGACTGAGATGGGACATGATAAGTTTTTAAGTACATAAATGATAGTTACAGGGAGGAGGGGAAAATTGTTCTCTTCTAACCTCTGAGGATTGGACAAGAAACAATGGACTGAAACTGCAGCAATGGTGGTTGAGGCTGGATATTAGGAAAACCTAACTGTCTCGGCAGTTAGTCACTGGAATAAATTGCCTAGAGAAGTTGTGGAATCTCTATCATACGATATTTTAAAGAGCAGGTTAGACAGACACCTGTCAGGGATGGTCGAGATAGTAGTTTAGGCCTGCCATGAGAAACGGGACTAGAAGATTGTTTTGAGGTCCCATCCAGTCCTACAATACTTTGATTTTAGTTCTAGCTAGCTCAGACTCAGGAGCATGTGCAGAAATTTAACTTTGCCCCCTTTGGGGGGCACCTGGTGTTTTACTCAACTTGTTACGTTGTGTTTTTATTCACCTTGTTATGTTGCACACAACTCTTACTGTCCTATGCTAATATTCGGTGTTCCTTAGTTTCCTTATGTATTGCACTAATGTGTAGGTGGTGGGAATTCAGTGTATGATTTTTGCTGAAGCCCTCAGGACAAGTAAGGCTTTTCAGCGATCTGCCTGTGGACAATGGTCATTGCCTTCCATAACCTGAGCACCAGGAGGGGGATGTGATCAGATGATGCTTTGCCTGGGACGCAGGACAAAGACTGGAAGAGGAGCAATGGGGGTGTCAAGAGTCCAGACAGCAGTGTCCAGAGTGGCCTGCTATGGGGGATTGGAAGAGAAGGAGTCTAAGGTATCTAGGCCAGGATTCCCTCAATATGGACTTGGATGAAAATCACTGACTTCTCTGCTATCAAGCTCTGTGCTACGCTGTATACCTATTGACTCATACACCTTCCCTTTTACAAAGCTGTCTGAGAGTCACTGCTAGTTGTGGAGTTGGGGTGCAGGGTCCTCTGGCTTCCCCAGAAGCCCTGCACAGAGGCAGTCTTGCAGCAGGAAGCACCACGTGGAAAGAGATGCTGAATGCCCTGAGGCCAGTCCCAGAAAGGGCAAAGCTGTATGAGGTTCTTGCCCTGAGGGTGGTGTGATCAAGGAGGCATGCTACCCTGGAGTTCTGACTGGCTTCATTCAAAGCACTTCCAGGGAAGTGGGGGGCCCTTCCCATGCTAGCAGGCGACTCACTTTTCCCTACCTCTGGACCCAGCTCTGGTAGGAACTCGTGCTCCTCCCTGCAGACCTGGGCTCTCTGCAGACCCAGACTAGTGGAGTTCTGTACCCCAGAAGACTACTGGGGAAGAGGGGCCCTCCTGCTTTCCCACTCTTGTGTGCACTCCTGCTTAGAGTACAGCAGCCCTGAAGCCATAGTCACATGGGTTGTACAGCCTGTCCAGAACTCTGGGATGTAGTCCAGCAGCTACAGCTGCACTATTACTCTTGTTTGAGCTGGGTAGATCAAAGCTAGCTCTGGTTTGGCTATTACAGTGTGCACAGCACATAACTCCTGGGCTTGTTTTGCCTCATTTGGGATTTCAGGAGCTTGGGCCCTGAAGGTGAAAGAAAAATGTATTTATTTGTGAAGACAGCATTCCCCAGAGGTTCTGTTTCAGAGGATAACAACCTACATAGGAACAGATTAGGATGCACTTTGTCTTTCTGTTGATATGTGAAGCTAAGGCAGTCCTAACTATTCAGCACATCAAGGGACAGATGTCTGAATGTAAATCTTCATTGTCACTTATCACAATATTTTGAATAGCACTTGATTTCCAGGCGATATCAGGCCACCTACCTGTCCTGACACAGAATCAGTGCTGTAAATGTTGAGACAACGGTTCCCAGACAACCTGTGATCGTCCACCAACGATTCTGGACAAGGAACCCAGCAATCATGATAAGCCCACTGAGAGGGTTATTGACGAACATCACCTGGGCCGTCCCTCGCAGGACCCAGTCGACAAACTGAAACGGGATTGGCTTATCTGCAAGAGAGCACATTGGACACACAGAATCATAGAACCAGTGAGCTGGAAGATACCTCAGAAGGTCATCAAGTCTAGCCCCCTGCTCTAGACAGGACCAATCCCAACTAAATCACCCCAGCCGGGGCTTTGTCAAGCCGAGACTTAAACTCCTATAGGGATGGAGACTCCACTACTTCCCTAGGTAACCCATTCCAGTGCTTCACCACCCTCCTAGTGAAATAGTTTTTCCTAATATCCACCCTGGACTTCTCCCACCACAACTTAAGACCATTGCTCCTTGTTCTGCCATCCGTCACTACTGAGACCAGCCTTTCTCCAGCCTCTTTGGAACCTCCCTTCAGGAAGTTGAAGGCTGCTATCAAATCCCCCCTCCCTCTTCGCTTCTGCAGACTAAACAGACTCAACTCCCTCAGCCTCTCCTCATAGGTCATATGCTCCAGCCCCCTAATCATTTTGGTTGCTCTCCACTGGACCCTCTCCAATGCGTCCACATTCTTTTTGTAGTGGGGGCCCCGGAACTGGACACAATACTTCAGATGTGGCCTCAGCAGAGCTGAATAAAGGGGAATAATGACATCTCTGGATCTGCTGGCAATGCTCCTCTTACTGCAATCTAATATGCCATTAGCCTTCTTGGCTAAAAGGGCACACTGTTGACTCATATTCAGCTTCTCATCCACTGTAACCCCCAGGTCCTTTTCTCCAGAACTACTACTTAGCTGGTTGGTCCCCAGCCTATAACAATGCTTGGGATTCTTCCCTCCCAAGTGCAGGGCTCTGCACTTGTCCTTGTTGAACCTCATCAGATTTCTTGTGGCCCAATCCTTCAATTTGTCTAAGTTACTCTGCACCGTATCTCTGCCCTCAAGTGTATCTACCTCTCCCCCTAGCTTAGTGTCATCTGCAAACTTGCTGAGGGTGCAATTCATCCCCCCATCCAGGTCATTAATAAAGATATTGAACAAAACCAGTCCTAGAACTGAACCTTGGGGCACTCCGCTAGAAACCGACCACCATCCTGACATCGAGTCGTTGATCACTACCCGCTGGGCCCGGCCTTCTAGCCATCTTTCTATCCATCTTACTGTCTATTTATCCAATCCACATTCCCTTAATTTGCTGGCAAGAATATTGTGGGAGACCGTATCAAAAGCCTTGCTAAAGTCAAGGTATATCATATCCACTGACTTTCCCACGTCCACAGAAACACTTTGTAACTGATCCAGGATGGTTTTCTGGAAAGGCCTGGAGAGGGATGCTACAGATGAGAAGGAATTGAAATAAACACAGGATGCAATTCACTCCTCTGCCAAAGGGTCAGTACAAAGGGGTGAATTCCAGTTCATGCACCCTCTGGACTTGGATGGTGGATGAGCCTCGTGCTGGCTTTTTTCACAAAGGGGTATTTCCCCTATAATGTAGGAAAGATTTAACCCAAGGAGTGGCCTGAGGCTGGCTGCAGCAGCTGGTACCCTAGGTGGGGTGGCGCAATAGGCGCCCCTGCCTGCATGGCTGTCAATGGCCGTGACGTCTTCATTGGGCGCCCGGGCCAGTGGCGCCCTTGGCAGCTGCCTTGCTTGCCTAGGCTCACGAGCCACCCCTGCTGTGTTATCTTTTCTCTTCAGCAGTTTGCTGAACCAAATCCTCCTTGAATTACTTAACACAGATGTCAAGTATCAGAAGGGTAGCCCTGTTAGTCTGGATCTGCAAAAGCGACAAGGAGTCCTGTGGCACCTTCTAGACTAACAGATGTTTTGGAGCATTAACACAGATGGAACATGCTGGTTGTTATTTAATAGCCACGGTGCTTTTCTGATGTACTCTAACTGGTGCAGTTGAAATGGACTTACCTTGCAGCCAGTCTCCAAACTCTCTCATATCTCCTGTGATATATCCAAGAACTTTACAGACTCTCTTCCCACCTTTTCTCACTGGATTCTGCTTTTGTGTCTTCCTTTCCCCTTTTGTTTCTATCTTGAGTTCAACACTGCCTTCCATGGTTGCTTTCAGAGCCTTTGGAGGAATTCAGGAAAGGAGACAATGCATTACAATGCCCCAATATATCGATTATTTATTCTCTGTGCCACTTAGTATTTATTGCACAGCAAAACTGGAAGCAACTAGAGAGACAGTGGAAATATCTGCTTTTCATTCAAGTATTGCCATTCATTGGGTACCTTAATCTCTCTCAGATTCACTGTATTGCCCCTCATAACAATACCAAAGGCCAAGATTTTCACAGTTTCATAAATCTGAAGGCCAGAAGGATCCATAGTCATCTAGAATGACCTGCGATATAATCCAGGCCATAGTTTCACTCAGTAATAACTTGTGTTTCGGCTACAACCTGTCTTCTAGAAAGAATTCAGTTCTTGAGTTAAAGGGTGAAAACGTGGGCCCACTGAAGCCAGTGGGAGCTTTGCCATCGGTGTCAATGGAGCCAAGATTTAACCCAAAGACTCTGGAGAACCCACCACATCCTTTGGGAAGCTGTTCCAATGGAGATGGACACTCACTGTTAACACTTTTTCAACTTATTTTTCATTTGAATTTATTTAATTTAGCTGTTTCTTCCAGCCACTCAAAGTGCATGCTTAAAAGTTAGATCCACATACCTGTATTTAATCAGTGAAATGAAGTCAACTTCAGCCAAGCACAAAAACACAAGCTTAAATTTAAGCATGTGCAGCCCTTCACACCACCATTCCCTTTCTTAAACATAAGCTTATGCTTATGAGTTTGGCTGAATTGGGGGCTTAGGCACAGAACCTCACAGCTCTGTAGATGCCTTCTTCTCAGGGAGAATAATGGGAATTGGGCATCTAAATGCCTTTGGAGTTCTGAACCTGAATGCCTGATTTTCAAAAGTACTCAGCTCTTATTTAAGAAACTATAGGAGCCCAATCCAAGACTTGTTGAAGTCATTGGACATGTTCTTTATGAATGTTGGATCTAATTTTTGAAAATCTTGGCTCAAGTGCTTAGGGTAAAATTCCCAATTTAGCACCCTGAGCTCAAAATCCCCAAAGCTTTCATTGGAATTCGCTCCCTATTTGGAGGGGTAGGACCCATCCAGGCCAATTGTTGAGGAAAAGGAGACATTGCAGTGAATGGCAAACCAAAGCGACATCTGTTCTGATTGGTGGTTTATGGTTTAAATAGGAAGCAAAATGTACTACGGCACCCCTAGTGGTAAGACTGTGCATAGATAATTTAAATTTGTCACTGAATTTCACATGCAAATAGTGTAATGAATCCATTACCCCTTATGGTCTAACAGTTTTCACTGTGCTGCCTATTATGGTCACTTGGAGCTTCATGGCAGCATGGGATAGAGTTCATGTTCCAGAAGTACAAGCTCCTATTTTTTATGCCAGTGTTTCCCAAATGGTGTTACGTGGAACCCCGGGGTTCCGCAAAGTGAAGATAAGGGTTCTGTGAGAAAATTCCATTACAATCACATTTTATAATCTAAAATATTTTTTGTACACATTAGATGTGATTTTTGTTTTTAAATATGTGCAATTAAACTAAATGTTGATCTCATGACCTTATTTAGCATTTGTTTATTATTATCCTTACTTATTTTTGGTTCTATTTTTCAGCTCCAGATTAGGGGTTCTGCAAAATTCTTTCGAGTTTAAAAGGGTTTCATGTCCAAATAAAATTGGAAACACTAAAGGAGAGTTTCCCTTAACTGAAGCAGTGCAGGGGCTAACACGCAGAGCTGAGCAGTTCTGACTCAGTCTAACTCAGTCTGGAGGAATAAACTGTCACATGCTCACTGGCCAGTTTACTGCCATAAACTGCCCAATCTTGAAAAAAAAAACCCATAACAAGTGCAAAAGTGCTATGTACCCAGAAGTAGTTAAAAATCTTACTTCAGGTGCAAAATCCAATATGTAAGGAATATCAACAGATAGGTAAGGTGAGCGAAAAGGAAGAACACAAAGATAATAAAAAGATTGTGTGGTTAGGCAGCATGACCAGTACATACGTATTTCCACAGTTCTGTTACTCATTTCAATTTTTTGTTTAACCTTCCCACCTTCCTCACTTTTCTGGGCATAACAGCTGCAGCAAATGCTTTATACTTTTAGTTTTTAAAAAACATCTTTCAGAATGGTGTGTATTTAGCCACTTCCTGTATTAAAAAAAAATAATCAAGAATCAGAATTTTCCTTCCAAGCAAAGTGCTTGTGGCCTCTGGCTGAATACACAGACAAATGAATCTGCATTTGAACAAAGATTTTTTTTCCTGTTAATTATTGTGGAGAAAAATATTGGCTAATTCATAAAACCTATGGAAAGTGTGTTTTGGGTTTGGCAGAAAAATCTAATCTGTATTCAGCACTTAGCATTCCTCACATGCTTCCTTGCATTCTGATTGAGTAAGTGGGTATTTGTGCACGCGATAATCCTACTGATAGGGTAATTGACGAACATCACCTGGGATGTTCCTTACAAGACCCAACTGACAAACTGAAACTCAAGCGGTTAATCAGAAAGAGATCATGCTGTGAATGCTTTGTAAATGAGGACGGGTTTCTTGAAACCCACAGAGAAACTCCCCACATTGCTTGGCAGCCCAACCAAGGCATTTATCAATGAAGATGTAAAACTTGACTCAGATTTTATGATTGCCTGTACAATGGTTTGCAGCTGGAAAGCTAGCTAAGATGGTTTATATTGAAGTCATTTGGAAATGTCATGAAGTAGAGAACACAGGCCTGGTCTATACTAGACCAGGCAGATCACCTTAAGGTACACCATCCAGCAAACCAAAATGCGTAGCTGGATTTGGCTCACCTTCAGACGAGCTCCTGCAGCATCTACCCCGTGGAAGGTCAATGCAAGCAACAAGCTCCCATCAGCTTCCCTGACTCTTCACAGAATGAGGACTACAGAATGCTGGTGGGGGCTGCCCTCAGCATTCGATTTGGGAGTCTATACTAGATCTGCTAAATCGAATGCTAGAAGATCGACCTCCAGAGGGTTGATCTCTGCAGTGAAGACAAACCCATAATGTCCTTGCTCAGAAAGGTCTGCATATCTGTTCAGGTAAGTTGAATAGCAGAGATGAAAAAGGAACATTCTTAAGACCTTAATTCACCAGAGCACATGCTTAATTGTCTGCACTTGCATGAGTCCATTCCAATTCAGTAAGGAACTTAAGAATGAATTGGCTTATTCTACTGAAAGCCAAAAAGGGATTTAAGTGTTCTGCTGAATAGGAACCTAAATGGATAGTGAAATTTAAACGTTATTGGTGCTTACTGCCTATGCAGAACCTGCCTGGTGATGAAAAACATGATGAGGGCAGCTTTCACTGGTTTCCTCTTTGTTCAAAGGTATACCTGCCCTGGGATACAGCTTAATGCTGGCCCATTATGCTTTAGCCCTCAGTGAAATGTGGAGTGCTAAATATAAGAGAATGCAAGTGGATACCAAGAAAACCTGGTCATTCTGTTATTCATCAGGTCATGTGTTCTGAAACTCTTCGAGGGACAGTCAACTAGTTGAAACACAGTCAGCTTATACGACAAATTCCACTCCCCATTAATGCAGGTGTAAATCTGGGGCAATCTGCAGAATTAGGCAGAATAGCCCTGAATTTTGATTTGGCATCAGTGAGGGCAGAACTTGGCCCAGTTCCTTGTGAGGGACAGCAGAGTAACGTGAGATGAGAATGTGCACCTCCATTATCCTGGCCTGAACTTCATCCTCAGAAGAAGGCTGCATGAAAACTATGCCTACCTGTTCTTCCAGCATATCCAAAAGTGGCACTCTTGCTGGGAGGTCTGGAGAATGTGCTGGCCAGAGGTGGTGCTTAAACTCAGATTCATTAGGCCTGTGTCCATCAAGAGACGCATCGGCCGGGAGTGGACTACTGGAGATGTCACAAATATCACTCAGAGAACATCTGTTCATTCCTCCTAGCATGCCATGTGTGATAAAGGGCAAGCAGAAAGAAATCAGTAGGAAACATGCCCACAACAACATGGCATGAATTTATGCTTAATCTCAGGAAGGGTCATGGGATTATTAAAGGCCAGAGTTTGCTCTCTTTGGCTTAAATGATGCAGGATCAAGGCTTAGTTTGCAAATTACTGGCTTATTTTTATACATAAGGGCTCATCTATCAAAATAGTTATATAATGTACTCCTGATTTTTTGCTATAATATTAACAATATGCTTGTTGCTGGACAATGGGGAAACCAGCTCTTTTTGCCCAAGAGTCTTATATGATTTGGAGTTTATATTGTTATCAACAAATATATTAATAAAGAACATGATGAGTATCTTTCCTATTCCCTCAGCAGCACCTGGGTCCTGCTCAAAAGGACAGAGAACTTTGTACAACCTGCAAGGTGTAAACTAAATTGCTCTGACTCCATCTAGTGCTCATCAGAGAGCTGAAATGAAATCTGACCTATTGAAAAACGGAGGCTGAGAGAGGTTTCTGAATGTTTTTAATGAAACTGCAGACCTACGGATGTTTTCATTCTCTGAGGTAACGACATGAAATATGTGTTCACAGAGTTACTTTCTGATGTAGGTTAAATCTGGAGTAAGTCTTTTGAATTCATGTCAGTTACTCAGGCCAGCAGTCAGTCCTTTGATAAATACATATGCTATTGAAGTTAAATTAACACATGATTTCCACTCTTCAACAGAGTATTTAATATTTAGAAGTGAAGCAGAACTGGAAAAGTACATTGGGAACAATTCTGCAGTGACCAAGCTGGTATAATTGGATACAGTGTCTTTTGTGTCTCTCTGAGGGTATGTCTATATTACATAGTTTTGTCAGAAAAATGGTCGTTTTTCCGACAAAACTTGAGGAACATCCACACTGCAATCACATTCTTCTACAAGAAAATTGAAAGAACAGAGAGTTTTTTCCAGCATTGGTAATCCTCATTCTATGAGGAAGAAGCCTTTTTGAGAAAGAGCTATTTCCCAAAAAGGTGTGTGTAGACGGGGAAAAGGGAGTTCTTTCGGAAGAAGAGGAAAGAGAAAAAAGCACAGGTGCCCTGGTGGCCACTCCATCAACTGCAATCACAGCTTACACACAAGAGAGCATCCATTCAGTCTGGACACACTCTTTTGAAAAAGCAGATTGCTTTTCAATGCACTTTTGCAGTGTGAATGCTCTCTTTTGGAAGAAGTTTTTTGGAAGATCTCTTCCGAAAAACAGCTTCAAAAGTAGGCCTATAGTCTAGACATAGGCTGAGTTTCTTGATTCTGGGGATTTTCCCCCCCCCTAAGATTCCAGTTAAGGATTAAATTCAGTTCAAGTTTATATCATGTGTAGTCAGCTTGGCTTCCCAGAGGGATTCCTCCTCCTCTGCGTCAGTGGGCGGTCACTCCACCCCAATAGACTGTCCCTTTAAGCCAAGCCCCATGTCCGTGCCAGGCCTTCCTTCAGGCGGGCTGCACACGACAAAGTCATTTATATATATACAGCCCTTTTGGGGATAGGCCAGGCCTTGGTTCAGGACGTGGCAAGACACAAGCAAAGTCAGTTTATACAGAAAGGCCAGGCCCTGATTCAGGGTGTGGCAATAACAAACACAATCAGTTTATGGGTGGACCAGGTCCTTGGTTCAGGGCATGGCAGCAACAAACAGAATTAGTTTATAGGGCGTGGCCAGGCCCTTGGTTCAGGACGTGGCCACAAGCAAACCAACACTGCAGGTTTGGGGGCTCCTTGTTCAGGAGGGGTACAGGCTAATTGCCTGTGGCAGTGGCGAGGGGGAGACTGACACCCACTCCACTGCGCCCCAGCCCAGGGCCCTAGGAGCAGCAGTGTCAGCTGCTACGGGCTCAGCGGGGGCTTCAGCCCAAAATGCGCTGGCTTTGGGGCCTTTAACAGCCCCCACTAACCCCTGGGCCACTTCCTTTCTCCCCCTCAGCTGGTACCTGAGTTTCTGGCTGTGTAGGCAGGGAGCCCAGGATGGTCTCGTCCCACTGGGATCCCAGGGATCCGGTCCAGTCCTCCACGGCTTGCAGGTTGGCAGGGCTCAGCCGGTCTCCTGGTGCAGGCAGGGTCAAGCGTCTGGGCCTGTCCTCAGGCCAGGCTCTGTCGGGGTTTTGGGACAAGCCTACGGTCTTGGCAGCTGCAGTAGTTTCTCACAGTTCCTGGGCATGGGCTAGGGCACAGAAACAGGCTTGTCTTCTGGGTCCTCTGCAAGGTCTGCTATCGTTAGTGGGCCAGGCCAGGCCTTTGGCTCCCAAGCAGGGAGCAAGTTGTCAGCCTCTGGCTCAGAGAGGGTTGGAAGCCCAACCTCCCAGGCTGGGAGCCCTGACTGGCCTCTGGTTCCTTTGCAGGCTCAGTCCTGAGTGAGTCTACTGGCTGGGCTTTTATAGCTCTGGCCCCAACCCCTGGTTTCCAGTCAGAGGGCTGGGTGGGGTCAGCCTTAGCCCAACATGGTGGCCGGAGGGGTTCCTTCTCCTCCACTCTGCCCCACTACACATGATAAATTCAGAGTAACTTCATTAGTTTCTATGGATTCACTCTGGATTTACAATGTTAATTTACAGCATGTGCTCCCTACTGGTTTGGTATGAAACAATTTGAAAAACAATTGGCTATTTGTTCTTACATTAAAAGTGGAAAAACTAAGGAATATTCCAGGTGTGTGTTTTGTGTTTCATTTGATCATAGTACAACTCCATGTACAGATCTGCTCCACCTTTTATTCCTCCTGGTATGAAACTCAAGAGTGATAGGCAAACACCCAACAACTGCATTTAGAAAGTGATCAGGATGCAAGGAACTTATAAGATCAAATTCTGATACATCACATCACAGAGTTACTTTATTGACTGCTGTTTTTACACAAATCTGATGCATTGTTTACATTATGTAATGATGCCTTTTTTGACACCCCTTGCCTTGACAATTTAAATCTGTCAGATAAGATATCTCATTATAGCCCTAAGTAAATTATAGCCTTTAGACGAAAAAATACAGTTTATTTAAAATATCTCATAGTTATAATGTAGAGCCTATTTGGAAGGGGGGAAAAATCTACCTGGGTGTCTGATGCACAAAAATTAAGCTAGAGCAGTAATTCTTCTGCAGTGAATGAGAAGCCAATTGATTGTTCCCTATCACCTATCCAGAGCCAATACATCTTGCAACGGAGCTCTGGTATTACATAAATGTGTCATCTCAACCCCCAGATCAAGTCAGTTCCATTCTGTACATTGCAGTCATAGCATTCTGCTGCCACCATGACTACAGCAGTGACAGAGAAAAGCTCAAGAGCAGTGAAGTGGATGGAGGGGTTTGAATCCTGGAACATCTGGCCTGAGTTGTAAATACTGTTTCATGTGTTGAAATAAAATGGTACATCTAGTAATCTATTTATTAGAAAATATACATTATAATACACTAGTGCAAGCTCTGTTTGCAGCTGGTAAAGCACCAGAGACTTTCATTAGAATTATTAGCTCAATACTCACAGATAATGCTGGTTTGCAACTTCTCTCCTATGTGTTGGGTGGGTTTGATCGTCGCCTATGGCTCTGCAGATAGAAAAGGAATCAGATATTCTCTTCTCCACACAAGACTTTCTCTTGTTCCCAATGTGACCCTGAGGATTTTCCAGTTTCTGTATAATTTTAAAACGATTTAAAGCCCCGTATGGTCCTTGTTTATTCCAGTAGTTTCCAGCATGCAGTTACATTCATTATATTCCACTTCCTTCAGGACTTCTATTGTGAAAGGTTTCCAGCTGGCGTAAATGAATATAGTTCCATTGATGTTGATTAAGATCTGTTCCAATATATCTTCATTTATGTTGCTCAACATTAAGTACAAAATGCATATTTTGTGATGTGCATGCGCGTATGCACACGCACAATCCTAAATGTTATCGCGCTTTGAATGCATTTATAATACTTGTAGACATGTTCCCAATGTGCAGGATAAATATTCAGTTAGAAAATTAGAGTCACCTTATGTCTGGCTAAGAAAATACCGAATTTGATTTATAGATTGTGGCTAATAGGGAGAAAGCTCCAACCAGCGAGTAAAAGAAGGCTGTGAGAATAATAAATAGTATTACTTGTAGTGTGGGAAGCATGTATGATTTCAAAAGTAACTAATAAATCAACGAGGTGTAGTAAAAAGACCAAAGGAAATTGTCTACAAAGAAACAAACCCAAACTTTCCCTCTGTTCTGCTGGTAAACTAGGATAGGAAGAGAAGAGAAAAGCCCTAGAGGAAGGGAATTAGCAAGGATAAGCTGCTTCAATGTGGTTTTTTGCTAAAACTAGCAAGTTAGCTGAAAAATATAAAGAATATACAGAGAACTGTAAATTAGTGGTTAGACCGTACCTGATTAGGAGTACACCAGAATGAGATGGTAATCTTGGGTTTAGCCTATTTGTAAGTAAACTGGTCACATACTCAAGAATACTGTGCTACTGTATTGCTTTAATGACTGCTTATTTTTAGGCTGTTAGACATGTTTAGAGCAGCTGCATAAAGTAACATTTGGCTTTTGGGTTTAACAAAGGGATTTCTGGTGAAATAGGTTTTTGGTGATTCCCCATATTATTATTCATTATTCCAATATTTTGGTGCTCCATGAGAGGACCCCGGACATTAATTTCAGTTGCTATAAACTCCCAGCGTGAAGGGGTAGTGACCAGTCCTCTAGGGCCAGTATAGAATTCTCTCTGAAAGAGAAATCCAGTATCATCAGATGAACTCTGATTCATACTTTAGATACCACTGCAAAAGAAAGCCTGGATGAGCATGGCTGAAGTCTATTCAATGCAGTAATGAAATTCCTGACAGAGCGCAGCACACATCTGGTGAATGCCGTAAATAGATACGTTATTGGCAGAGCATGATAATGGTTCATTAACTGCTGCTGAAATGTTAAAGACTTAGACACTCTGGTGACCCTGGAGACAAATATCAATACTTCCTAAGCCATCTGAAGGAAAAGAAAGCACAGATGAAGATGGCTGTGTTTCAGGGACTAGAAGTGATGGCTATGTTTGGCTAGGCAAAGAGCGCCATCTTGACGAATGAGTGCAGAAAAGCCCAGAAATAAGTTCAGTGTTCCTGAGAGAAATCAGCCGGCGAATGCGTCTCTTTGGGAGATAAGTTAGAGATGTAAGGAAGGAGAGGGAGGTGTTAAAAGGTGCACTTGCACAAATTATCATTGTGGACTTGGAAGGAATGAAATATGTTGGGGTTGTAGAAATGCTAGAGTGAAAGTGGTATAAGAAGAGATACTTGCTTTGATAATGAAACCCAGGTATGGCAGTACAAACTGGTACAGTGACGCCAGGTGCAGCCCTTGCAGTCAAACAATGTGCGCATGGGGGAGGTGTCAGAGGGTGGTAATTAATACGACTGCTTTTGTTCCCAGGAATCTTTATAGCTGTTCTGAAGAAAATTGGGCCCTTTTCTGAAAGGAAGCACCTCTAATTAATCAATTGCAAAGGACGGCTGCAAACAGAGAGGCAGTCTGATTTGAATGTGGACAATTTAGTCAAAGTCACTAAAGGAAATAGGGTTTTTCATTGGAACTTGACCACCTCTGAATGTACTGAAGGGGCACATCATCTGGGGATAGCTGGGTAAAAATAATTAGAGCAACAGAAAGGACGTTAAGCAAAGATTTTTTTTTTAAATGTGAAACTAGATTTGTATAATTATGTAAGACGTTAAGCACCTATAACCACACTTCTGGTTTGCAAAACCCTATTTTGTATAAATTGCCTTTGAAAAAATACCACTAAAAATCCATTTGAATCTTTCATTTAGAGTTGCAACACCGATGGACATTTTTTGCCAACCACAGGTAAGCGAGTGTTATTTGGCTTTGTTATTGAGCACTTAGCCCTTTGAGTATTTCTGTGTTTTGTTCAAATTCAATCACTTTTTAAATGAATCCCAGAGGACTTGGTTGTGGCTGTTGCAGGGACAGCGAGAGCCAGGAGAGCCGGAACAGACTGGATTCTTTTTCAGTCATAAAACAGCAGCTAAGCACTGCAGGAGAAGAATGAAAAATTAAAAAGACAGGGCCTCTCTGGAGCCATGGCAAGGAAGAAATGCACAAAAGGAGCACTATTTGGAACAGAGGGCGTGAAGGTCATTCTGAGTAACCAGACATTCACTTTGATTAGGGTGCACCAGGTACACTTCATGTGGAAATTGATAGGGGTAATATAATACTATATCAAATAAGTGGAAGGTAAATTATGGAAGGAATGTTTATTTCCCCTGTAGCAAATGCAGCCTGCACTGTAAAGAGGGCAAAAGAAATGTAAGCAAAATATGTTACTTAATTAAGATGCTATAAGGCTCCTGAGAGGTTGTGATTTTTTTCAGATTGCTGTGTGCTTTGGAAAATATATACATATGATGGAATGAAAATCTCTAAGATGTTGTTTTATAAGTGAAAACAAGCATTGAAATGAAACCATTGAACTAAAAGATTAAAATGCTCTAGACTGAAAACAACTCCAGCTAATGATTTAGGCCTGAATCGATGAAGAAAACATGCAATATGTAGATGACAATCTGGTGCATACTGCTGACAGGGGAAAGTCACTTTAAGGTATTGGAAGCCCTACTTAAGGGTTTGATAAAAGCTGGATTCAAGCAAAACCCAGAAAAAAGGCCCAGCTAGTGAAGACGAAGGTTTCCTTCCCAGGACTAGTCCTGCAACTCAGCCAGCAAGTTCTAGGCAAACAAAAGGCAAAAGTGATTCTGGAGCTGCCCTTCCCTACCTCACAAATCGCTTAGCATGAGAACCAAGAGCCATTTGCCATCAGGACTATTTATTGATGAGACTCCAGAGCGGCCTGGAAGAATTCCTTCTCACAAGGGCCCTCCTTGCCCATTTATCCCAAGTGCAGTACAGAATCTAAATACCAAAGGGCTGCACCCTAAGGGACCAATGATATAAATTGAGGGGTGAGCCTACGACCACAAAGGGACCCACTCACAGGATTTGCTCAGAGCTTAATTGGCAATGAAAGAGGGACCAGGGCTCAAGCAATTAAAGGCTGGCACTCAAGCAATTTGTTTGATTTCAGAACCGACATGCCAAGCCCAGAGGTACTGGGGTTGTGATCTGCCAAGCCCAGAGATGTCAGGGCCCCGCATAGGAATTTGGTGTTTTGGCTCCCCTTATTAAGCAGGAAGAACTGGAAGTGCTAATAAATAAGTACAATTATGACATTGTTGGCATCACAGAAACTTGGAGGGATAATACACATGATTGGAATGTTTGTATGGAAGGGTACAGCTTGCTCAGGAAGGATAGGTGGGGAAAAAAGGGAGGAGGTGTTGCCTTATACATTAAAAATGAACACACTTGGAGTGAGGTTGGGATGGACATAGGAGACGGAAGTGTTGAGAGTCTCTGGGTTAGGCTAAAAGGGATTAAAAACAAAGTTAATGTCATGCTAGGAGTGTACTACAGGCCACCTACACAGGTGGAAGAAGTGGATGAGGCTTTTTTTAAACAACTAACAATATCATCCAAAGCCCAAGATTTGGTGGTGATGGGGGACTTCAACTATCCAGATATATGTTGGGAAAATAACACTGTAGGGCACCGACTATCCAATAAGTTCTTGGACTGCATTGGAGGCAACTTTTTATTTCAGAAGGGGGAAGCTGTTCTAGATTTGATCCTAACAAATAGGGAGGAACTGGTTGAGAATTTGAAAGTGGAAGGCAGCTTGGGTGAAAGTGATCATGAAATTATGGAGTTCACAATTCTAAGGAAGGGTAGAAAGGAAAACAGCAAAATAGAGACAATGGATTTCAGGAATACGGATTTTGGTAAGTTCAGAGAGCTGATAGGTAAGGTCCCATGGGAATCGAGACTGAGGAGAAAAACAACTGAGGAGAGTTGGCAGTTTTTCAAAGGGACATTAAGGGCCCAAAAGCAAGCTATTCCGCCGATGTGTCAGAAAGATAGAAAATATGGCAAAAGACCACCTTGTCTTAACCACGAGATCTTGAATGATCTAAAAATAAAAAAGGAGGCATATAAAAAATGGAAACTAGGACAAATTACAAAGGATGAATATAGGCAAACAGAACAGGAATGCAGCGGCAAAGGCACAGAATGAGCTCAAATTAGCTACAGGAATAAAGGGAAACAAGAAGACGTTTTATAAATACATTAGAAGCAAAAGGAAGACCAAGGAGAGGATAGGCCCACTGGACAGTGAAGAGGGAGAAACAGTAGCAGGAAACTTAGAAATGGCAGAGATGCTCAATTACTTCTTTGTTTCGGTCTTCACTGAGAAGTCTGAAGGAATGCCTAACACAGTGAATGCTAGTGGAAAGGGGGTAATTTTAGAAGGTTAAATAAAAAAAGAACAAATTAAAAATCACCTAGAAAAGTTAGATGCCTGCAAGTCACCAGGGCCTGATGAAATGCATCCTATTAATATTCAAGGAGCTGATAGAAGAGGTATCTGAGCTTATAGCTATCATCTTTGGAAAATCATGGGAGACAGTGCCCATTTATATAGTGCCCATT